TTCCTGAATATGTCATTCTTATTAAATTTTTGATTTAGCGCTGCAGCATGTAAAACAATTATTAATTACAATAAGATCAAATAAATCCTCTCTGCTTTTCATCAATAGAATTAGAGTTAAATTAGTTATAGAACATTTAGTCTTTAAGCCCATTTTTATAATTGATGAATAAATTAACTGCAAGAATATTATTGTGAAAAACCTATATATGTTTTCACATCGAAATCGGCTAAACCATTCGCTTTTAGTACTGTATTTAAAAAGCATATTTTGCGCCACATAGTATAAGTTATAGCAAATAAACAAACTTAGTATAGCTAGAGACTTTAAAATTAGTTAAAGCTAGCTGGAGGCATAACTAGTTTAAAAACTAGCGTGGCTAATTTTAGAATTAGTTACAGTTAGTTAGAGGCTTACCTATTTTGCAGCTAGCTAGGGGATTAGCTAATTTACAGTTAACTAGGGGTTTAGCTAGTTTATAGCTATCAAGAGGCATAGTCAGTTTACATGCTAGCAAGAGATTTAGTTAATTTACAAGATGGCTAGAGGTTTAGTTAGTTTAGAAGCTAACTAAGCTTAACTAGTTTAAACTAGTTAAAGTTTACAAACTAGATAGAAACAGTTTACAAACTTGGTTTAACTAGTTAAAACAACATATAAACTAGCTAATAAGCTAAAAAAATATAAAGGTAACCAAAACGTAGTAAAATTAGATTAAAATTTTTAAAAAATATAATTAAAATACTGAAAAAATGGGCTATAAAAAATACAAAAATAGACGAAAATGAGGGTAATAAGGGTGTTTAAAAGTCAAAATGGGTTGTAATAATACAAAAGTTTACAAAAACGAAGAAGAATCAGGGCAATTTTTATAAAATAACAAAATATTTAAAAATCGATGGTGAAAAAAAATAAAACGGAAACGAAGAAAAACTTTCAAAAACTAAAAAATATATGGAAAATACCAGGGTTTCGAACCGTTTAGTATAACGGTTCGATTCGTTCCGGTTTTTAGTTTAAAATTTTATAAAGGTTTTGTTCCATTTCGGTTTTTTAAAAAAAAATCATATCGGTTCGGTTTATAATTTATAACGGTTCTTTTCGGTTTGTTCCGGTTTTTATAAATTTAATTTTAAAAAAAATTAATCATTAACCATGTATATATTAATTTTAGAGAAAAATCTTTTTATAATTTCTTATTTAAAACCATGAATGATAATCTAATATATATTTTTATTAAACTTAGTAAATATAAATTAGACAAATCAATTCTTTTTATTTCATTAAGATAAACACAAACATGCGCAAATACAATGAGGAATAAAATAACACATAAATATAATGAAATTTATATTATTTATTTTTAACGAGAGAATTGGAACGGATAACTAAAATATTTTCTAATATTTCAGGATTTAATTTAGTTCTTTGGGCAGAGAGTGTAAACTAAAGGCTAGAAAATGCTCTTTCTACGGATACCTGCGTAGCTGGAACTTCTAGCACAACCATAGCTAACTTATAAAGTTCTGGCATACTATTCTTTACATTTCCCCAATAATTCAAAAGATTTGCATCTTTTTCTAATCTCTCTATATTATCAAATGACCGAATTATATACTCTATTTCTACACATTGATTATAATTTTCTATGCCCTGAGAACTATTCTTATTAAGGCTTTCATGAGACATTAATAAATCTTCAAAATCATCATCTAGGTTATCTTTCGAATGTGAACACGTAGGAATAGTATCTATATTTTCAATATTCTGATTATTTAAATTTTGGATTAAGTTCCAAGTTTTATAAAGATGTTTTTTGGCGATATCTTTTTCTTCAAATGATAAAAATACATTATATCTTGGGTCGAGATATATAGCTGAGCAAAAAACTTCATTTTTCAAATTAATCTCTCGTGCTTTGATTGTACAAACTAAAAGTTTGGCAAATGAAGTGTCTATTTTGCTAGTTTGCATGATACATTTGATCCATGCTGCATAAAAATCGCCCATGGTCATTTGTTCACTTTGTATATATTTTGTCAAAATATAAGATGGATATAAAGCTTTTAATATATCACTAATTATTTTCCATTCATTCTCTGACAAACATTTTTCACGATCATTACTTTGGGCCGATATTTCTTGGCAAAAGTTTTTTAACTCTAATAATCTTTCCAACATTAAATAGATTGAATTCCATCTTGTGCAACAATCTATTAGTGGCTTTTTTAAATTTAATTTGGACAAAATAGACATTGTAGTCTGATTTCTTATTTTTTTGCAAATGTTTCTTGCTTTATTAATAATAACAATTTCATTTGAATTTTTTATGCAATCATTAATTGCTAATTGAAATGTGTGGGAGGCACATCTAATGCCCATTAACATGGATCTCGTATGAGGTACAAGATTAATATTTTCAATATTAAAAAAAGGTTCTTCATTTTCATTAACAATTATATCATCATTGTTATTTAAATTATCATTATCTAAATAATCATTAAGGATATCATCCTCATCATCTTCTTCATCATGATGTATTAACAGCTTAATTAATTTAATCATGTTAGCTGCATTGTCTGTGGTTATCGTATAAATTTGATCAATTCTTATTTCATGTTCGTTTAGAACATCTAGAATAATTTTTTTTAGATATTCTGATGTATGTCTTTCTTTTATCTCTTTCATGCATAACGTTCTTAATTTTATTTCTCCATTATCTATAAATTGAATATTGATCCCCAGTATGGACCTATCATATCGAGTTGCAATATCTAATTTTAACGATATAAGTTTTTGGTATATTTCTTTTTTTAAATTTTGCGAAAAATCAAATGCCATTTTTTTAATATTATTGCGTATATTTTCAGAATTGATGGTTAAATTACCACCCAATCCTACAATTATCGGATCTATAATATTTCTAAATGCTTTGTCATCAATTGATTTTATTGGTCTCCCATGAACTGTGATTAACTCAGTGCAGGAGCGGATTAAAGTGTCTTTATTAATATTAATTTGTATTGTATTAGTTTTGGTAAAAGCATTTTGAATTGTATTATGATTATTTGCATTTTTTGTTATTGTTTTTTTAATAGTCAAATTATCTTCTTTTTTTTTAATAATTTGAATTCCTTATCGTGGAATCTTTCTATATGTCATTCAAGATTTGCTGCATGGTCCCCGGTTAAAACTTTACCACAGTTTTCTAGTTTACAAGTAGATTGATTTTTTACAATATCTAATTTAAAATATGATCGCACAGGATTTGACTTTTCCCGAACCATTTAATAGATACTAATATGCTATATGATGATGAATAGATCAGAATCTTTTATTATAAAAATAGAATAAATAAATTTCTTAATAGAATCAGTATAATTTTTTATTTATCTTATCTGACAAGATCTCCCCCAAAAATGTGAATTATATGCAGGCCTACCCTTCATATAATTATGCCGATTTTTTCCTCAAAAATACTAACAAAACAAACTTGTACACAGATGAAACTAAATAAGTGAATGGAGCTTACTAATACCATTTTAATAAATAATTTGATTTAATAGAGAAAAGAAAGAAGCAAAAAGATAAGATATAAAATAAGAAGAAAAGAAATAGAAAAGCTGTTTAAAATTCCAAAAACAACTGTCTTTTATTAAAAAATTAAAGTTAATTAAATTAAAACTTTAATGGATACTTTATCATTTTATAATTATCCAATTGAATTTCATGTGTTTAAATTTTATTTGGTACTATAAGATTTAGAAGGTTAATCAGTAAGTAGTTATTATTTCAAGAAATTATCCACTAAAGTGTAAATGGAAATAAATAAATAAATTAACCATAAAATACAGGAATATTAATTAACAATCATATGTTTTTTTTTAATTTCAGAATTCTAATATTCATTTAAGTCATTCTAAATTATTCATTATGAAAATATTAATTAATAAGAAATTAATATAAAACAGTATTTTATTAAAAGTAATCAGTACCTGATTTTCTTTAGATGTTAGTAAGAATTATGATTTTTCCCAAATTATTAGCAAGTATTAATAAGCTAATTAATAACTAATATACATATATATATATATAAGAATAAACTTGTTAATTTAAAGAATAGTCTTGTTTGATTTTAAGATTCTTATCTAATTAACTGGTAATTCGCCTAATCTCTATTAAATTGAGTATTTATTAAAGTGAAAAGAAAAAACAATAAACATGGTGGTATTAATTGACATGTAAAAAAAATTCAATTTGAAAAGAAATAAAGAGTTTAAAAATTTCCCCAAGGAAAATTCAAATTTCAAATTTAGGTTAATAATGTTTAATTTAATTATTTTTAAAAACCGTTTTGAACCGGTTTAAACCGGTTTAAAATATTTATAACGGTTCGGTTCGCTCTTTTTATAGTTTATTTATAACGGTTCGGTTACGGTTACGGTTCAGAAAATTATAACGGTTCATTCCGGTTTGGCGGTTCGGTTCGGTCCGAAACCCTGGAAAATACTAAAATGTAAAATAAGTATAAATTAATTAAATCTGAAAAATAATTTCACAAATAAAAATTGATAGTTAATTTGTGTACTATTAGTTTGTGAACTAATTAAGTGTCTCTAGATGCATTTATTACCCCCCCCCCACCGTTAATAACGATATTACTCATACTCCCTCCTAATAGCCGAAAGGAAATCCAGATCAAAATTAAGATATTCTAGCCCCCTTTATATTTATTTGCCACCTACACTTCTTTCCTTTTATTCTAATAACGATAGCATCTTAACAACTCTCTAACTCCATTTAATTAAAAATATTTTGTGTCCTACCCACTCTTCCCGTGGTAGAAGTGTCTGAGCTATTAGCTAGTTTGTGCTGTGAAGAGAAGGATTTTACTGTAAAAAATAAAAGGACAGAAAATAAATTTAGTAGGTTTCTTTAGATATATTTAGTTATTAAAATATTCATAATTTGCTTTTTGTTATTTATCATTTTAAATACAGATCTTGTAAGCTTTCAGTGTATTCAATGGCATACATTTCAACCAACTACCTGGAGTTCACTCTATACCCAAGATCTTGCACCCTTATCGACACCCTCATTTACTGTAATAGCTGATAAAGGATTTAATTATTCGACAGTTGACGAATCTTTTGTTTGTCAAAAGAAAAATCATTTCCAAGTAATTCTTCCTAATTACCAAGGTCTATATATATATTATTTTTCTCAGTATAAAAAATGTTGCTATTTAAAGCTTTTCTATTTTAAGTGTTTAGATCAAGTGATTATTTTTCATTTATTTACTTTATTTTTGACGGGTAAATTTAGGTCTAGAAGGTCGGCCTTTTTTAAATTTTCTCTAAATAATAATTTAATATGGGTATTAAATGAAAGCTAGTGACAAGATTTTTGGACTGCCTTATGCAACATCCCTGATAGTAAAAAATCTAATGATTGCATTTTTAATCATCACGTCAATCCATTTCATAAAATGAGAAGGATGGGGTAAAAAAATTAAATTTTCTTCTAACATAATATATCAATGAAAGTTAATAAAAAAATCTTCTGACTGCTTGTTAATCCTCACTCTAGGCCTTTTACTATGGAAATTAAAATTTAGTAGTGTTGTTAAACGGCTCGATTTAGCCTATTTTATAATTAAGATTTTAGCCAAAATTATATACACAAGCCTCTAAATTTTTTTAAATAAAAGTCTTAACCTTCCTGCCACCTAAGAACAAAATCCCTAGGCTTGCATAATTTTTTAGCTAAAATTTTGTTAGCCGCTTTTAAAAATTGAACCGTTTACAACACTAAAATTTAGACGATTTTTGATTGTTTTGGGGGAAGGGGATCAAATGTCAAATTAAAACCTTTTTAGCAACATATCTCGAGCTCGACCATAAAAATTAAAAAGATTCATTGACTGTAATGCTAATCATCATCTATAGAATAAATCTGGAGGAGAATGAAATTTTTTGAACTTTTTATATCATAATATCTGATTATAGTAAAAGCTAAAAAGTATATCTTTCAAATTTTCTAATCTTCTCTCTCGGTTTTTGAGTCTCAGTCATTATGAGGGAGTGGGGGGGGGGGTGATATTCTTAATAAAATATATTGACATGGGTATTAAATGAAAAATAGTAATAGTTAATAATTCCTTTAAATCCATTGGTTTCCATAGAATCAGAGGGGTGGGTGTCTATATTTTTTATTTTTTTAGATAACAAATAATATATTGAAGATAATTTTATGGCAATGTTAATAATTACTTTATATTTTCAAAGCGTGTCTTTACCTAGGTTTACAATATCTATTTTAACTATATTGTTTAAAAAAATTAAAATGGTGATTATGCATTAGTCACTTTTAGAATTACATTATAAAATTAGATACATGTTTAAAAGCTAATATTTTCGTCAAAAAAAAGAGATAGTTAAATGAACATTATGACAAATGTCACCTTTTTGAATTAATTATACCTTAATGAATAAGAAAACTTGTTTTTAAAACACCCAATTTTTTACTATTATATCCAAATAAAATTAGAAAGGTTATTTAAAAAAAATAATTGACAATTATATCCTTTCTGAATTATAAATTATTAATGAAATTATACCAAAACATCGTTAAATTTTTTTTCTTTTAAAAATATATAAAGGGAGTAACATTATAATTAAAAACATGTAATTAATTGTGAAAATTACCGCCGAAAGAAGCGAAATTTTTTTAAGGAGGAAGATATACGTTGATAAGGGCGGGGAGGGGGGGGGTGTTCCAATCGATTTCCTGTGATGCAGACGTAAGTAGTATAGTATATAAATTGTCTGGAACATAGCACAAGAAAATATATAATCATTTTTATTTTAAATAAAGATCACAATGGATATATGTTTACAAAATGACCCGAAGTTCTTAAAATTATCTTCTGGATTATTCAAACCGATACGGAATTTTTATGCAATATTTTATGGAGTCAAAGTAATTTATATTTTAATATCCTAAGATTGAATTTTATCTATTTTGCTCAAAATCATCCATAGGCAGAATCGGTTTCACAAATAATCAAAATTGAGCAATCTCAATCTGATAGGAGCAAAAAATCATTCAATCCAATCCAGTAATATAATAGACTAATACAAAACAAAAATAATATTAAAAATACAAACCCGCTTACAAAAGACAGTCCCCATGTTTAGCCTTTTTAAGTATTTCCTTTTGGGATTTCAAAAATATAAAAAATCTACAACAATTTTTCATTCTTTCATTTTTATGATCATTCAAAACATATTTTTTAAATAATTCTTTTGTATTGTTTCTTTGAGAAAATAAGATAAATAAATAAAGAAAAACATCTTTCAACAGGAATTTATGTACAAGGTACTGCCAAAGCCATCTACAAACATTTGTAAAGATCTTAAGGATTTGTTTGGTTTTCACAATTCCAATATGTTAGTAGATTCGTCAAGTCTCAGCATATCTAAAATTTATATTTTACTAACCAAAGAGCTATCGCTTTGTTCTTAATCATCGAAGGCTAGTGGATTTCTCTTTTTTGGAGGGGCCTCACAGAGCACAGATTATTTCATTCTATAGGTGTCATTATTGTTTTCTATATAAAGATTGCTAAGGAATTTTGAATAGGATTCTAAGTTGATTTTGTTAACTCTGATAGCGTTTCACTTCTTAATTTCGTTATAGAGCTTTAAATTTTTTCACTTCTTTTTCGTTATAGAGCTTTAATTTTATCAAGGGTAAAGTTGGGAAATGTGAGTGCTATTTATTACTTTAGGAGTCTTGGGGTCAAATAATATAATTTGTTTTAAAGTAAAGAATTTTCACAATATTTTGAGTTCACTAATTGCTATAACTAGGAATTACTCTTATTTTAAATTCCTAAAAAAATGATAATTAAACATTTAATATCTTTTAAAGATTGTCACTCGTTCTTGGAAAACCTCAGAAGATAACCATAGGGCGGCTGCATTTCAGCGAAACAACTATAAACAATATGCGAAAAAAAGGCAAACCAAATCCCGATCAAAGATATTTTTTATTAATAGTTGCGTTATGCGCTCGTGTAGGCAAAGTAAACAATGATTTCAAACCAAATGAAAGTGTTAACGCTAAGATGGCTAGATTTGAAAACGAAGATTTTGAGGATCATATTTTGTCCGCCTTTGCCTCTGAAAAAATTATTGTTAGGGTAAATTTAATAAAAAGAATAAGAAGTTCCATTCAAAATCATTTATTAATTTAAAAACAGGCCTCTAATCCTGGTCAATTCGATAACGATCCTGATTCTACCTGGCAAAAGGGTCAAGGGGCTGAGACTATATGTCATATGGTATTAATATAATGTATTTTAATACAAAAATTAACATGTTATTCTGTAGGGCCAAGTTGGAATTAACACCGAAAACCCTGATGAGAGTTTAGTCGTTCAAGGAAATATAAAATTAACGGGCCATATTTTGCAACCTTCAGATATTAGAATTAAAACAAACATTGTGGAGGTTGAATATAATAATATAATACTATTACCAGTATCTATTATTTTTAATAGATTTTTTTAAATTGTGTTATTCGATAACGACAACTAATATATATTCATTTATTATCTGTAAAAAAATATAATTAAGCTTGATACGAAACAACAATTGCATAACGTATCACAAATCAAACTTTATCATTACAAATATGATTCAGCACAAGTGGGAGACTTTGTTAGAGAAGGAGATTCATTAAGTGATACCGGGGTGATAGCCCAAGAACTTGAAAAGGTTTTGCCAGAGGCCGTAAAAAAGTCTGGTTGTTGGCATTTGCCAAATGGAAAAATAATCCAGGATTTTATGATAGTTAACAAAGTATTTTAAAATCTATTCATATTTTAATAAATAAGATGGATATAATATATAATAATAATATTGCTTTAAGAATTCGTTTTAGATTATACTAATCATCTTGTTTGACTATATATTTTTCAAATCTCTTACCGAATTATAGGAGAGAATTTTTTTGGAAAATGTAGGAGCAGTAAAAGAACTCACGAAACTTACAAGTACTTTGGGAACCAGGATAGAGAAACTTGAAAAATTAAATAAAGCATTACCTCATCGAAAGCAAGAAAGTTTTCGTTCTATATCTGGACTTAGTAATTCACTCAGGTAAGTTTTTATTGAAATATAATTTTACGGAGAATTTAAGTGTATAACTCTTAAAAAATGTATTAAATTTTTTTTAGTTATACGAGTAGCATAACAATTCATTCTTCCTCAAAATTGTCCTCCCCAAAGGACGCTTACAAAAAAATTATGGATGAAACTTTAGGTGCTAGAACTTTTAGATATGCCTGGAACAAAATGTTGAGAAACAAATTCTTACAATTTTCTTGTGCCTTTATAACTTTAATTATGGGATTTTGGTAAGACCGCTTTGTAATCAGTGATATATTTATTATTATTCAATAAAAAAAACACAAGCTTAATTACTATGTCTACTTTGTTTGTACTGGAATATATGCATCGTCATAAATCTATGATTGATTATAATGAAACTCTTGGGAGAAATATAAATAATCTGATTCCGGTACCATTATATAATATGTCATCCTATAATAGCCATCTACAAATCAATATTTTTAAGAAAATTACCAAAGAACCTCCCTTTCAACAACCCTTGTATAATCTTATGGGAATTTCCAATTCAAGGAGTTTTCCGCAGACTATTGATAAAACCATTAAAAATGATCTTACTACTTCAAACTTATTCAGTTATAAATTTGGTCCTTATTTAAAAGATAGGTATAAATTTTAAACTTATAATAAAAGCAGCTTACATTAAAAAAAATTTAGGACCTTGAAAATATCATCATTAAATGTCGAAAACAATTCTTTAAATTACAATAATTCTGTAAGCTCTAAAACCGTATCCTTATTTTTTCATCATATCATTGATTTTGCAACTTCCAAAACTATAGAATTAGTAGATAAATATACAAATTCGACGGATATTTTATATGGTCAAGAAATTACATATTCCCCAAGCATATTTCAATCAGACTTATTAATTCCTTTGCCCATTCCATCCCATATGTTAGCCTGCTTTAAAATTCATCAAGCCGTATGTCCAACTTATTGTTGTAATAATAGCAGCACGACTTATTATTTTAGAAAGGGGAAAATTCCTAAATACCTAGTGCCTTTATGTAAGAGTTTCAAGTTATTTAACAATTTAATAAAAACAAGCAAAATATAGAAAAAAGGATTTTTGATGAGTTTTAAACCAGAAAACTTATGACATATTTTATTTCTCTTCTGCGGTTCCTATAAAAGTGAAAGTGTTTCGTTCCTGTTTTTTATAAATTCCATCTCATTCCATCAGTTTATTTAAAATTCTTTTCTAGCTCCCTGTTTATAATCGAAATAAAGGATTAGATTTTTAAAAATAACTCTAATATAAAAGCTTATACATTTTTATCAGAGATGAACCGATACTACTTCATTTTTTTATCTGATATCGATTATCAAGTATCGGACATACCGATGTCCAATACCAATAGTAATACTGTAGTAAATTTTGGTTAAAAAAGCAAAGATATTATTCATCAATATTATCACTTTTTATTTAACAACTTTAATAAATTTATGAAGTTTAAAGTAAATTACTTATAAAGTATCGTTAATTAAGATTTTCTAAAAATTCTGAAGTTGATTTTTACCTTCAGACTTGTAGCTTGTGCTGAGGGGGGGGGATCCCCTCAGCGACAGAAAATGCAGATAATTGAAATATTTTTAAAAATTCTTCATAATTAAGTAATCACTGATTTTATGCTTAGATAAATGGCAAACTGGCTTGAAAAAACTTCCCTTCAGATGAAAACGCCTTATTGAACTCTATATATTTCGCATTAGAATATATTAACAAATTAGGTTGTACTAGAGAATTTTTTACAAAAAATTCTAAGAATTTAGTTGACACCTTAAAAAAGTATTTCTTAAAGAAATTTCAAATGTTGATAAGAAATTTCCTTATTTAGCCTATATAGGGCTTTAAAGTTATATAATGTTAAATATTGTCAAAAAAATTTTAATGTAAAAAACCATAATAGAAAACTGAAAGTAATCATCAAATCAAATTTTCTCTCAATTTTTTTTGTGTATAAGCTATAGGATTAATGAATAAATATACTAAGTATCAAGTTGGGCCGAGAATTGTAAAAATTCTTTAATAAATATTTGATAAAATCATTAATTGTAAATTTTTAAGGACAAAGCTTTTAAATATTTTGTGTATTTAAATAAAATATTGAAGAAAGGGGGGGGGGGGCTATTGTTAATTTATGTAATATATTTACCAGAGGCATGTAGGCCCTCCCCTAAACCCGGTCCGTAACACGGGCGGGGCCGTATTTTTATTTTTTTAAATATTTTCAAACCAAATATTTTAAATCGCCATTATTAGCTAACTTAAAATAAATATAATTATTTTTAAAAAATGGGCCAGGTCTTGGATGGAGCCGATAAAATTTTTTCTGCCATAAAATTTTTTTAAAAAATTGAAAATCGAAAAAATTAAGAAAGATGTTTTGAATATTTTTTCAGAAGGTATTTATACTATATGAATGTGAAATCATTAAGCAATCGAAAAAAATATTTGAAACAACACATTCTCGAAATGAAAAAAAATCAGGTATAAAAGGTTCTTTCTTTCCAAAAAGAAAGTGTTGGTTTCTCTTATTTTAAATTAGTTTTTTTTTATGTCCCTTCTTTTGTTTAAACTTAAATACCTAAAAATTAAAAAAAAAAATTAAAAATAGTTTTTTCATCTTTTGTTTAAGCTTATATATGTTAGCGTCAATGTGTTTTTTCCGGCAATGTGTTATTTCTACAACTTTAAATCATTTTTTGAGTTCTTTTTCAAAAATTTAAAAATTCGATTTTACCAGAAATGTATTCTACTATGTTTGGAATACCTATCTTATGAATTTTAGACAATTTTGAGGTTAACCTTTGAGTCATTTATAATTTATATAAAAAATATATGGAAAATCGAATATAAATTATAATTAAGTTTAAAAGTTTATGAAAAAATTGCCTGAAATTCATAGGGTAAGTATTCCAAATATGACGGAATACATTTCCTGAAAAATCAGATTTTTAAATTTAAATAAACGCGCTTAAAAAATTATTTAAAGTTAACCCACTACCAGAAAAAACACATTGACTCTAACATACACATAAAAATTAAAATAGTTTCTTTTGTTTAGATTTATTACATTAAAATGAATACATATTACTTTTTATGTTTTCTAAATTTTGTATTCCTTAATAAGGTATTCATTAATCATAAGTTAGATAGTTAGGCCCCGGAGATCGTCCTGAATCTGGAGGTATAATTATAGTTCCGAAAGGTATAGGGGGGTTGAATTTATCCCCAATTATATAAGATAAAAAAAACACAACTTTCAAAATCGTTTTTTTTAAACTTTGCGCCAATTTTATTTTAATTTATAATTGCCCTTATTTATCCCTATAAAAGGGATTAATTTTATGGTTATATTTTATTTTTAGTTTGTAAATTTTTATAATTAATTGCGTTTTATAAAAAACTATTATTTTTGTGGTTCAATAAAATTTATAAAATTAAATTTGAGTTTTAAAATTCTTATAGTTGTAATTAATAGCAATTTATAAAAGTCTATTTTCGATTATTTTTGTGGTTTAATTAAATTAAAATTAAAGTTTAATATAAATACTTAATGACTCTCACCCGATCACAAACTGACCTGGATAACGAAGCCCCATTATTTCAATTAATTTTTAATTTTTATATATTTAAGCCTAGTGCTGTAAACATTTTTAAAAAAATCGAACGCGTTCGCGTTCAACGTTCATTGACAAAAATCGAACGCGTTCACGTTCACGTTCAAATTCAAGGAACGCGTTCAAGTTCATGAACGCGTTCATACGTTCAAGTTCATGAACGCGTTCATACGTTCAAGTTCATGAACGCGTTCATACGTTCAAAATTTTATGATAAATTTTTTTTTTAATTTAATTTAATATAAATAAATGCCTTATATTTTTCAACACAATATATTAGCCATGATGAAAAATAATAGTTTTATTTTGATAATATAATTATAAATACAATATAATAGAGCGATAAAAAAATAAATTTATAAAAAAATTTTCTTATTAATTTTTAATAATAATTGCTTTTCAAAATTTTCATCTGATAGGCATGAACGCTTGTCAGTTAATACAGCGTTAGCTATACTAAAAACTCGCTCAACAGGGGCAGATGAAGGGATTGCGGTGTTATACTTGATAAACAATTCTTTTAAAAGGGGGAATTTATTAAAAACAATTAATGTTTTATCCATTGTTTCAAAAAATTAAGCTATGTTATCATCCTCCAATCTGCTCTCTTCTTCCTCTTCAAAAAAAAGGATATCTCGGAATTGATTTTAAAACAATGAAATATTTTTGATATTTGGGCCATGGTAATTCTAATTCATCTAATATTGAATTTTGATTTTCAGAATCTGATGATGAAATATTTATATCCATGCAAATGCTAATCTATTAAATTAAAATATAAAATATTCAAATTAATAAACTTTAATCTTATCATCTCTAGCAGTAGCACTATGGTACGTTAATTGCAATATAAAAAAGGAAAAAGTAAAAACAGCTGATTAAAAAATATAAGACTTTTTTGTTAAAAAATTGGATTAAATATTAATTTTTCAAATAAATAAAAATATAAGACTTTTTTGTTAAAAAATGCGGATTAATATTAATTTTTCAAATAAATAAAAATAAAAAGTGTTTTTAAAATTGAACGAACGTAAAATTGAACGCCTCATCAAAGAAAAGAACGCGTTCACGTTCAAAGTTCGTCAAAAAAAAAGGAACGCCGTTCATCACCTTGTTCATTTTGAACGCGTTCGTTTACAACACTATTTAAGCCTAAACAAAAGTGGGATAAAAAAAACTTTTAATTTTTAGGTATTTAAGTTTAAATAAATGAAGAGATGTAAAAAAGGTTAAAAATAAAATAAGAAAAATCCTATTTAGCAGAAAGAAAGAACAAATTTAAATTGATGTTGATAAGCAAAGGACTTTCCTAATTAACATCTAATTATATACTCTCCTTTGAAGATGATCTGGATTGTATCGCACAATCTTTCTGCAATCCTGCAATTCCTAATTGTTATTTTAGAAATAAATTACTATATGATGCTGTAATCATATTTCTTATAGGGAAAATTAAATTAAAGTTAAATTATATTCATATTGCGAAAATTTCCAATTTACAAAATGTTATAAAATTAGATTTTGTCAATAAAATTATAATCAAAAATTGATTTGTATTTTGTGTCATTTTTATGAAGAGAGAAATTTACATCAAAAATGACCAAATCCCCCACCCCCACACACATACAACAACTTTTCCAGATCTATAATATATTTGATAGCTTTTGACTTATATTAATTACAATTATTGATTAATATCAAATATTTAGTAAGAAGATTTGCAAGACTAATACCTCCTAAACCTGTATTCGGCCCAGCTCGAAAATTTGCTTATTTATTAATTAATCAATTTGCTATACATAAAAAAAATGCTGTGATGGTAATTTCCGGATATTAACATTTAAATTTTTTGACAATATTTTACATTATGTTACTTTAAAGGCCTACTATTGAGTTATAGAAGGTAATGAAGCCTCCCGCTTAATTATATCCAAAGGTATCGAAAATTAAAGAGAGGCATTTTACCCTAAGAGGCGCCCAAATTTACAAAAAGGTCACCCTCACTGAGATTCGAGGAAAGAAAGTTGCCGAAACACATTAATTTAGGTTGATTATAACATTTTAAAAGAGGATCTACATTGATTTTAAAATTTTTACCTAAAATCTTAAAAAAATTATAGCCGAGGGGGCCCTAAGGACCTATTGATAGATATAACTATTGAGATGAAATGCAAAGTTGAAGGATTGGGGTATTCTATTTTTCGTCCTTACGGCTGTTTTAATGGGATCTGTGTTTGGGTTAAAGGAGAACTGATACGGTGAATCCAAAATAAAATGTTTTCCTCTCTAAACCAAGAGTTATTTGTAAGGCAATCTGATCTTTTCCCATCAGAAAGGGATAAGTGAATGGGTTTCAGGAGATTTGAATAGTTGACCAAACCTGATTCATTCATTTAAAAAAAAAGAATTGCTCTCTGGTGATTGAACAACCCTTTAGAATATAAAGAATCTAGACCATGTCTGCATTTAGGATCATACTTTCCCCATACCCTTTAAATTTATGATGTAGATATATGTTGCACCCTAATCTATAACCTATCATCTTCAGCTCCTCATCTGATAGCAAAAATTAAAGATTTTTTAGTATTGTTTAAAACCTCAATTTAACTGATTTAATAAGCCTCAATATTTTGTCAAAAGAGATCAAACCTTTTGGCGAAATCTCTTAATATTTTATTTAGTTAAAATATTAATTTATCAATTTTTAAAAATTGGCGTTAACATTCTACTATTTGATCTTGATTTAACAAGCAATCCATGTAAATATAAGAGTTCATTAGTATACTTGCTCAAATAAATAACATTTTCACCTTCAAGAGTAAATGTATATAGGAAATGATACCTGAGAATACCAATATTATAGAAACATTATCTCACTCACAAAGGAGACATATATTTTCTAAATACTTACTTGCCGATTTTTACATTATTTTTCTTAAGAACATACTGTGTCAAATATTTGAATTTAATTTGTATATTAGAAATTGGCCATTTTTCTATAATTATAAATTTAGATATTTTAAACATTAAAAAAATTGATATTTTTTTATTTTTACATAAATATTATATTTTATAGCATTTATGTGCATGAATTGATAATTTTACAGATAATTTAGATATTAGAAGTTGTCAATATTTTTTTAGTTACTAATCCTAATAAATTTATGAAATTTTAGATATTTTTTTTGAATACTTTAAAAATTACTCACTTCCAAAGAAAATTCCTGACTACGTGAGCCACTGGTATAGGTTAAAATGGAAAGCATCCGCTGATATTAATACTGATGGATAAGTATCGGTGCATCTCTATCTTTATATATTATTAATTAATCTGTTTTATTCGCATAATTAATTTCTTACCTGTTAATTTCTATAAATCTAAAAATATAATCTTCTAGGAATTATTAAGGTTATGATCTTATAGACTTTACTAAAAAAATATAATTAGATAATGTAGAGTCTCCCACACTAATCCCTGGTTTCGGTAATAAATTAGTGGAAGTGTTGAAAGATGTATCGCAAGAAAACAAGGAAGACCTTTATGATTTAAAAAGATTAGACGAATCTGGATATTCTAAATCTGATACCCGTCCAAGCAGCTCATATTCAAATGCTAAAGAAATTTTTCAAAAAAATAACATCGCTAAATTAGACAAAAAAAATTTCACAAATAATCATAATTATTTGCCCAATGTAACAATGTTAATAAATGAAAATATCAACATCAATTTATTTTCCACCATTAATGATAATGAAAATAATCGTATTTTTCAGAATACACTAAAAAAACCAATAAATCATATAAAACAACCAAAAACATACAATTCTATTAACAAAAATTTGGCATATACTGCAATAAAAATGAAGAAATACATAAACACTACTTTTATCCGAAAGATTTCATATTTTACCAAGGCCGATATTAAAGGAATGAAAATGAGTTTAGATATTACACAATCAACTCCCGAATTTATCACACAAGTATCCTCATATCCTAATAAAAATTTTATAGTTACAAAAAATTCGTACCCAACAATATTCTTAAATGGTTCAAAATTGTTAATAAAGAAATCTTACCAAAAATTTAAGGATGGAAGGAGTGTGGATAATTATACAAGTATTAATATAAATAGGCAAAAGGAGACCCAGAAAAACATAGTATTTACAATGCTCAGGCATGACAAACCCCAGATTAAAATAAAAACAGTTCGCATAAGAAAAAGACCTCTTAACAACGACATATGGTCAAATGTCTCAACCCCATTTTGGTTAAATTTACAGGATGCCCATGCTGACGAAAATGGAGAGACATGGATTCCGTTGCAACAAAACTTATTGCCCAAAAGTCAAATATCAGTAATTCTTGGCAATATTTTTCACGGGGATGATAAGTCAAACAAACAGTACGACCTTCATTTGCTGAGCAAAAGAAAACGCAAATATCATAAAAGGAGCGAATCCTTGATTAAAAAACATCGAATTTCAAGGAGCTTGAACGGAAAATCTTTGAATTCCACATATGAATTTAACAATGACTTATCTAGTAAATACATTTTTGTATAATTAGAATTTGCTTCATTTTAAATGGTATATTTTTTTATTATAAATTATAAAAAAAATTTCATATGTTGACTAGATATCATGGTTAAAAATATTAAGTTATTGGAATTGGATAAGATTCTCTTGTGCAAGCAATCGATTTACACTTATAGAGATTCTAACTCTTCTACCGACAATATAATAATATCCGATAAATGCGCAAATTTAGCCGATCAATCTTTTAGATTTAGCATACCTTTAGCTTTTCCCTTTATCCCTATAACGATAGAATTCGAGTATAATCATTTTCCAATTTTATAATTATACATTATTACCAAATTTAAATTCTACCCCACCTAATTAATATCTGACTACTCATATTATTTTTAAGCTTAGCAAAATTTTTAAAAAATAAGCAACGTTCTATTTTTTTTTTCCAATTTATTTACACTATATAATGCATAAAATTTAATATAAATTATTATATTTAAATTATTAAAATATATATGATTTAAAAGTTGTAACTCTATACATAATTATCATCATCCTACTTTTCTGAAAATTTATTGTCGCTCAACTATATAAAAATATATTTATGTTTAACTTTTATATCTGCTCATCCCAACTCCCAATCTCAAATTTCATAATCACAAAATTTCTTCCAGATAATATAATTTATTTTTTCATTTTAAAATAAGAAATCCTATAATGATGATTTATATAAAAAAACAAAATAACAAAAATCACGTTCCTTAAAATATATTGTTATATTATTTTATTTGAACAACTGCGACACCTTTGACTTTATAACTGCGGCTATTCTTAAAGGCATTGTATTAATTAATAAGATTTTGGAACATATTCTGGAATATCTAGTTGCATATTAACTCCAATTTATTCTTCAAATAATTCTTTGGGTAAACCGGTTTCAATAGAATTGGTATTGCTGGAAGGTGTAATTAAATGACTTTATGCTCTAATAACTAAAATGATGGGTACTTTGGTGATCTTATATCTATCAGCATTCATTATATTATTTATAAAGGAAATACATCCTAGGCTTTTTGTAATCATACAGATCCATATCATTATGATATTTGGAAACTACATTTAAGCAATCAGGATCAAAAATTTCTGCTTAAGCTCTTATAACCATATCTCGTATAAGCCCAATACTTATTTTGATTCGTCCCTGAATATGGAAACTTGGTTCCCAATTGTAGAAATATTTTCAATCCTGTTTTTGAAGAGGCATGTCGATTTTTTAAAATAATTTTTCATAGAATCCTCCTTTTTGAATTAGTTATCTATAGAAGTCCTCTATTTTGAGTAGGCTCAAAAATTCCGGTATTTTTGTATTTCTGTAGAATATCTAATAAAAAATGCACTTATTGCTAATCGATTTGCTATATTTCTTCCAGAATTCCATCCCTTATGAGTTAAGGAATCTCACAAATGTGGATATTTGTGACCTTAACTTACCCTAGTTGAAGAAAACAAATCTTAAAAAAGTTATAAATTGATTAAGTTATAATAATCCTTAAAAATATTAGCAGGCGTTAACTTGGGCCAGAGTTGTTAAAGTAGCGAGCTACTTGTAGCGTGCTAACTTTTCTGGTAGCTATAGCTAATAGCGGCTACTTTTTTTGTAATTTTAACTTTTTAGCGCGCTACTTTTTTGAAAGTAAGTATAAACATAAAAATTTAAATATAATATCATTATTTTTATGATTTATTATTAAATTTTGAAATTGAAATATATTTTCAATTTGTGATTTATATTTTTAATTTGTAATTTATATATTCATTTGTATTATAAACCTAAATCACGGGTTAATAATTTAAAATGTCATCGCCTATGGATATCCAAATCGTTGAAAGTGATTCAGACAATGATATTAATGAAATGGAAAATACCAGGGAAGAAAATGTTCTTAATAGCTATAATACAAATTTCCCATTCACTAGATTTGAAAAATTTTTTTAAATAAATGTAAAAACCAAAACTGGCTTCAAATTTATTTGTTTAAAATGTAAAAAAAATATTTCCTCAAATCAATCCAGTTATAGCCTCAAGAAACACCAAAAGGTAAATTGTCATTTTTACATTCTAATAGTATTTATTTTATAAGACTCTTCATACCAATAGCTTTAAGGAAATGAAGAAACATTTAAATAATTTTGGTATAGGCGACTCTACATCCAAAAAGACTAATTCAAATCAAACCAAATTAATTAATAATCCAAATGCCAATATTTCTCAGAAATTGCCTGATAAAGTTATTGTTGATTTTATAACTGATACAGTTCAGCCAATGTCCTTTGTTGATAATCTATCATTTACCATGATGATTAAAACTCTATCCCCTGGTGCAACAATTTTATGTCGCCAGATACTAATGAATAAAATAGCAGATAACTTTAAAGTGATGAAAAATGCTCTAATAGTAGTTTTCACAGAAATCATATATATCATATATATGTATCACGGTAGATAGTTGGACACATAACACTAGGTAAAAACTTATAAAATGCAACAAATTACCATAAATATTTATTTTTATTACATAAAATTTTTTATAATCAAAATTAACTATATTTTAATATTTGTAAATGATGATTTTTATATACAAAAAATAGAACAAATTTGTTTCTAAATTTTTTTTATAAAATGTAGCTTAAAAAGTAGCTCTAATAGCGAGCTACTTTTTTTGACAAATAGCGATAGAGGTAGCGCGCTACTTTTAAAAGTAGCTATTAACAACTCTGACTTGGGCTATCATCTTGATGATCTTATCGTAGTATAAAACACTTATACTTTACATATAATTATAAAAATAAAATTCTTAATATTTATATTAAGATTTTAATTTTTTTTAAAAAAGTTTATTAATATTTTTGATTTAAAAATTAATAAGCTTAAAATTAAGGGCGGTCGGATATCAATGAGGTGTGGTAGTATATTACGAATTTATTTTTAAAGGATTGATAAAAACAATTCGTTGGTGCTATGCAATCATTATCTGTCTCATATGCCATGTAAACCAAAAATATATCCTTCTATGCAGCAAGCAAACTTTAAAGTAAAAAAAAAATTACATGATGTTTTTATATATAAAAATTAAACAGGCATTTAAAAATCGTTGGAGATTACCAATCGGACAATATTTTTGGAGTTCTTACAATTTTAGAATAGCTAATACTAAATCACTTTCGATTTCTTCTGAGGTTTATAAATGATTATGTAATACTAACAATAAATTAATCTCTAGGTATGCAATTGGACGAAAGAGAGCCTAGGAAAAAAATATTCCCAATGCAATCTGTTTTTCCAAAGAATGCCTTGTGAATCAATTTAATATATCTCGAGTCATATACCAATGACTTTATATTTATTGATAAGTTAATTTGATATTGTACACAAAAATGGATAAGTATAATTTTATAAATACACAAATGAGATAGAACTTTTTATGATATGTTATAACCGAATTGATTAGCGATAATAATTCTCGAAATCCGGTCTCTCTCTATCTCTGAATTATCCTCGTCGGAATCTGCATGCTCACGCTTCATAATAACAATTGATGGGGCCTTAATTTTGGGACTAAATATTTTTCTGCTATGGGTTATTTTTGGTTCATTTCTAGTTGAACGTTCTTTTTGAATAATTGATCTGCGTTTCTTATTTAAATTATGGTGTTCATCGTTAATCTTTTTTTGTAAAGTTAAATCGTTACCTTTGTTAGTCAATTTTTTTTTTAAATTTTATAATAAAATTTATCTAATAAATTGTATTTAATGTATTTAGTATACTTATTTTTAAAGGCTGATCAACTAGATATGATTTTGAATTTTGATCTTGGTCGGACTCAAGGTGATCATCTTTAATAGAAGATTGTTAAAATTAACTATAAGATATTTATTTAAGAGGTACCTGTTTCTTCTTCCAGAAGCCTAAAAAGCTCATCATCCCTTGAAAATTGGTTCACTTGTGAATTTTCAATAGAATTATCCGATAAGTTGTCATAAGAAATAGTCATTACTGTAGCGTTAAATAAAATGATTATATTAAATAATATGTATATAGCATTCGGATTTCTAATAAGCTTATGCCTATGCATCGCCTATAATGTATTTTACTTTTTTTATATATATTTACTGAATGAAGAAAACCTTTATATAGATTTTATTTTATGTTAAAATTTATAAAATACATTAATACGATAATTATCACTTACGGCCTTGTTTTATTTAGGTTAGATGTTATATATCGATAAATTAAATATTAAATGATATAATAATAGTAAACATTTAGGATAAAATATGGTAATACAAAAATTTAATTAATGGCTCATTTATTCCATATACCATTTAAATATTGTTATCCCCCCCCCCCCTATTTTTTTGCAAAAGAACTATTTATGTTTTTGTTTTTAATAGTTTTTTATATATCTTTATATTTTCGTTATCTTATTTTAGATATATATAGAATAATATTGATCATTTTCATAGATAATTTTTTTTTCTAGTTTCAAGAAATCAGAATGTGTATAAAAAGATATTCATGAATTAGGATCATATTTAAGTAAAAATAATAAAGACTAATATAGTTTTGCCCTTTTTGATAAAATAGAAATTGATATAAACAAATTCTAAAAGACTTATTTGTTTAAATAGCGCTTAAGTATAACTAATTAATTTTTGAAGCTTGATTGATTTCATAAATAAGACAACCTTGGAGGAAAACTTGAAATACTCTGTACAAGTAAGGATATGTCTTGTATATATTCCTTGGTTATTTGCAATAAAAAAATAATTTAAACAAAAAATAAATCCTTTTTTAATAAATTTTGAACATATACAAATCACATAGGGAAACGGTCAATTGCTGCTTAATTATTTGTTCTAACTCCACTCAAATCAATTTACAGGAGAGCGTTTTTAAAAAAAATTAAGATAGAACCTTGTCAAATTTATAAAAGACTGTTTAGGTTCGATCTCTATTCCCATCGTTTGGACTAAAAATAATTTTAACATAAATATGATGAAAGTATAAATTTCCAAATTTTATCAGGTGTTGATAATAGATTGATGTTATAACCTTGGTTTAATTTGGTGCGATGAACCCAGATATAATTCGGTGCGGCAACAATTGAATATATGTGTATTTAGCACGCTAAAACCCGGCGTAGGCGAAATAAAATTCTACAATATTATACTTAAGGTAAACAAAAAAAAATCTGCAGCTTGGACGCCACAACAAATATTCAGTGTATTAAATCTGTTGATTTTGTATCAAGTTAATTCGTGATGGAAAATTTGTGGTCAATTTGAAAAATAATCAGTAATTTATTTTTAAAAAAATTCAAGATTTATATCTTAAAAAACGTAGTAATCATCATGGCAAGGTATTACATATTTATTTACAAAATTATATTTTGTATTGAAGAGAATTTATAAAATTTTATTTTTATACAAAATCCAAATAAACATCGAATATTTTAAATGCTTAAATTTTATAGTTTTTTATTATTTAGATAATTTTCTTTCCGTAGTTAACTTTATGTCTTTAAAAACCATGATTTTTTTGAAATATAACGAAAATTAATAAAATATAATGGATTGGAATGGATAAGATTTAATTTTGTTTATTAATTTACACCTAAATTTTAATTTCTTACTCCATATGTGTTAAATCATAAAATTTATATTCAATATGATAGTTTTTTAATTCTTTCTGGCCTAGAGAGTATTTTCAATTTTGATAAAATAATCCAACAAATAATTGTTGAATAATTGAACCCAATTTTTTATTCATAATTTGTATAGGCCATGGTTGGATTAGAAGTTTGCAACGGGCGGGTTAAAAATTTTACACATTGGTAGGGCGGGTTTAGTTAAAACTTCTCTTATTACATGTCTCCAGGGTTAGTAAGTCGGTCAATTTACGGTCAAATTTAATTAATTGACCGGATTTGACATGGTCAAATACGGTCAAATACTCTAAAAATATCGAAAGAAAATAAAATTAAAAATATGTTTAAAAAAGAAAAAAACGATATAAATACATGTAATACAATGTTGCTTATTTTTTGGATCCCCAATATCAAGAGGAGCATCTCACTAGTAGTAAATTCAATGAAGTATATGATATAACTCAAGAATTAGCCATTTTACAAGGTGGTGTTGACCAAAATATTTTAAGTGATATAATTAATTTAGAAGCAAAAGCAGCATGTTTAATGGCAAACTATGTGGATTTCCATAAGAAACAATCAATTTCGACCTCAAGTTAATAGATTAAACTATACCCACGCCCATTAACAGGCTAACAATTCCTAGTTCTACTTCTTCATTGGAAAGAAATAGGTCGATTTGGGTTAATATTCTTATGAAAATAGAAATCGAAAGATCTGGACATCAGGAAAATTAATTAAAAAATTTAAAGAAAATGATAATATTGAATATGAATCAGAACATGACTCTGCTACAGAGAACTAAACGTTAGTTATTGAATGACAATGAATTTAAAAAATTAATATTTTTCAGGCGCGTACGCAGCGGGAGGGGGGGCTGGAGGATAAATCCCCCCCCCCCCCAGCCAAAAAATGCAGATGCCGGATTATATTTTTCAAAAATATTATTGTTAATATTAATTTATATTTGGTAATATTTATCCTATCTCATATATATATTTAATTACATTTATTTATCACATTCCTCTACTAAGTTATTTTATCAATTAATTTCGATTTCAAGTTTTCCTTGGCGCAATTATCCTATTATTTTCAAATTTTAGTGGCGTATTAATTATCTAAATTTCTAGTCAAATAATAATCATCTCTGAAACTCCTTGTCCAACAGGGAGAAAGAAATTGCAAGCCTGTCCAACAAGAACGAGTTTCCGCCATCAAGCAGTAACAGCTTTTATGGAGTTAGAAGAGCCGATTATTAATGCTAATCACAATGGCTTGAAAGAAATATTTCCTCAGAAGCAAGAAAATTATTGGATTCAATACTTATTCCAAATTTTTTTTCTCATTAGAATGTATTATTTAATTATACAACTATTTTATGTAATACTTTTCAAAAATATGACATTGACTTGATTAAGAAGATGAGAATAGCGGAGAGCATTTTATTAAAACTTAAAGAAATTAGAGCTAATGTTGATGAAGAATTTCATATTTTATATGTTATTGTTTAATCAAAAGCAGAACTATACGTGTTTAATATTTGTCCCCCTCGGCTTGCAGCAAGCAAGCTCATCGTCAAAACATTTATATAGGATCAGTAGAAGAGTATTATAAAACAAATGTCCCTTCTCTTAGATACATTTATAACCCAAATAAATGAATAGTTTTTAATTCATCATGCAGCACTTACAAACCTGCAGATATTACTTCCACAAAAGCCTTTCCAACCTTTTCCAGATGGTGATAGAAAAAAAATAAATATTTGTTAGATTTTTATCATGAAGATGTTAAAATATCGTATGATGCCTTGTTAGCTGAATAATTATGATTAAAAGATTAACTATGGTTGATACAGTCCCAAAAAATGCTATGGATGCTTTGCATTATTTCAAACACATTTTAGATTATATTCCCAATGTATCAAAATGGTTATGTATATATTAACAACTCTTCCCATTAGTAAACTAATGAGAGATTCTCTTTTTTAAGAAGAATAACAGAGCCCTGCAGAGGTACCATTTGCAGGGCACATCCCAGATTTTTAAAAAAAAAATTTTTCGGCCCTGGTTTTTTTAAAAACTATTTTCAGGCCCGGCCCGAATTTTTTAAAATAAATTATATTTATTTTTGATTTTTACATCTAATAATGGCGATTTCAAATATTTGGTTTTAAAATATACAGCTCGGCCCGGATATTTTTTTGAAAAAATTTTCAAGCCCAGCCCGGGGGTTTTTTTTTAAAAAAATTTTGGGCCCAGCCCGGGTATGTTAAAAAAATTAAAATACGGTCCGGCTCAGTGGCCAGGCCTGCAAGTCTCTGAAAAACATACCTATGAAATACAACTTCTGAAAGTAGATGGAATGATTTGGATCTTTTGAATATTCATAGGTATTTAACGCCAAGCAAGGATTGATAATTGGAAAATTATCTCAAAACATAGAAAATGCAATTATTCCTAAAACTTTTTGTGTATTAATTTATATTTCCAACATTTAAAATTTTTATACTTTATATATTTTAAAGGCTCAAAAAATTCAAATTTCAATTTTGGGTCATTTAAGTTATTCATATCGTGGTTATATTCACTTTATATTTTATAATTCACATTTATTTTATAGTTTTTCAATGCCGGTTTATATATATATTTTTTTTAATTCACATTAGTTTAAAATTGTGTATTAGAAAAGTTATCAGTCCTAATAAATTTATGCTTAGTATTTTTAATTAACAATATATTTCTTAAAAAAATTTATTATCCCCCCCCCCATACCAAATTCCTGCGTACGCGCCTGATTCATTTTATTAAAAAATTCAATTTTTATTAAAATTTATATACAAATATGATAAAAATATTATTATTTAAAAATTAACATTATAATATAGAGAACATAATAAAATATGTCATATATCAGTTTAAGTTAAAAAAAAAAGATTGATACAAATGTATATTTTTATAAAAAGAAAAAAC